GTAGCAAGGTCAAGTGCAGAGGCTGAGTATAGATTCATGCCTCATGGTGTCTCAGAACTTCTTTGGGTTAGATCTCTTTCGAGTGAGATTGTGGTGAAAGCAGAGGAACCTATGATGTTATACTGTGACAATCCGACTGCAATCAATATTGCCTACAATCMAATTCAGCATGATAGGACAAAACACATTGAAGTTGATAGACACTTTATAATCCTACGTTGTACCAACGGCAGAGAACCAGAAGCGAGTAGATTGTTTCTCCTTCAGCACATGAGCCTCCTGCACTTCCAGTCACAGAAGAGACAATAGGTACTGATACAACCCCTTTGGAGTCATCCTTTCCAGACCTTGATATCCCTATTGCTATTAGGAAAGGAAAAAGGAAGTGTACTGCACATTGCATTTCCAAACACCTTTCTTATAGTTTGCTCTTTCCTTCATATTTTGCCTACCTATCTTCTGTTGCTTTTAACCCAATTCCTAGGTTTGTATCAGAAGCTTTTACTATTCTAGAATGGAGGGATGCTATGAGAACATAATTGATTTCCTACATAAGAATGACACTTGAGAAGTAGTTGATTTKCTTGAAGGGAAGGATCCAATAGGTTGTAAGTAGGTTTTTACTATCAAATATCATGTTGATGGCACCATTGAAAGGTACAAGGCTAGGATGGTTGCAAAAGGTTATACATAGACATATGGGATTGATTATCTTGAGACCTTTGCTCCTGTTGCAAAGATGACTTTTGTGAGAGTTCTGCTATCTCTAGCTGCACACTCAGATTGGCCACTTTATCAGTTGGATGTAAAGAATGCATTTCTAAATGGAGAGTTAAATGAGGAGGTCTATATGCCTCTTCCTGCAGGGATGTACGAAACAGATATGAAAGTGAAGGTCTGCAGGCTGAAGAGATTTCTTTATGGACTCAAACAATCCCCTAGAGCATGGTTTGAAAGGTTTAGGGCTGCTCTTGTTAGCTTTGGCTATGTACAGACACAATCTGATCATACCCTCTTTGTGAAGAGGAGAGGATCCTTGGCCGTTTACCTGATTGTGTATGTCTATGATATTGTTGTGACTGGTAATGATGTATCAGGGATTAATGATCTTGAATCTTTCCTTCATACAGAGTTTGAGATCAAAGACCTAGGGGAATTGAGATACTTTCTTGGCATAGAAGTTGCTAGATCCAAAGATGGGATCCTTATCTCTCAGAGAAAGTATGTACTTGATTTGCTCTCTGAAATAGGGAAGATGGGTGCTAGACCAATTGCTACTCCTATTGATACAAGTCATGAACTCTCTACTTTAGATGGAATATTGTTGAAAGATAAGGGAGTCTTCCAAAGACTACTTGGAAAACTTCTCTATCTATTCATGATTCGGCTAGACATTGCATATGTTGTCAGTTGCATTAGTCAGTTTATGCATGCTCCCAGGGATGCTCACATGGCAGCAGCAGAGCGGATTCTATGTTATTTGAAGGGTTCCCTTGGAAAGGGAATTCTATTTGTTAAGCATGGCCATATGAAACTTGAAGCCTACACAGATGCTGATTGGGCCATAAACATTGATGACAGAAGATCTACCTTTGGGTACTGTAGCTTGTGGCAGGTAATATTGTCTCTTGGAGAAGCAAGAAACAATCGGTTGTTGCCCGATCTTTAGCCGAAGCTGAATACAGATCCATGGCTCATGGAGTTTCTGAACTACTATGGCTTAGATCCTTGATGAAGGAATTGGGTATTGAGCATGATAAGCCAATGATATTATATTGTGATAATCAGGTTCCCTTCAACATTGCTCACAATCCAGTGCAACCTGACAGAACTAAACATATTGAAGTTGACAGACACTTCATTCGAGAAAGAGTGGCTTTTGGAGAGGTGTGTCTACCTTTCATCACTTCTGAAGGACAGTTAGCTGATTTTCTCACCAAGGGCATTCCCAAGGCTAAACTTTAGCATGATACTAGCAAGCTTTGGATGATTGACATCTATGCTCAGCTTGAGGGGGAGTGTAGAGAAGATGGGCCGAATGGCCCATAGGCTGTTTATCCTTTTTTATTTTTATGTTCTTTGCTGTAATGGGTCTAAATCTGGGCTTTATTCTTTCTGCCCAACTAGGGACCTCTTTGTAAATTATTAAAGTTTAACTTAATGAAATGGAATTAGGGGTGTAAGAGAGAAGGTTATGTTCTAAAATCTTTCTATCTGAACCCTAGTTGCCGCCACCTTCTTCTTCTTCTTCTTCTTCTTCTTCTTCTTCTCTCTTGTTGAAACCTGATTTCTGCTACTTCCTTTTGATTTTCTGCAACTTTTTAAACAGTCATTTCTTTTCAAAAGGTTGTTTTTCTTCTAACCGAAAATCAGTTGGAGGTCGAAGTTCGCCGGACAGAAGCTTTGTACAACAACATGAAACCAGCTGGATCCTGCTTTAAATCGCCTCATCTCTCTCTCAAACTCTCTTGCTCTCCTTCACAAACCCTCTCTCTGTTCGTTCTCTATCTCAAACCTTTTTCAAAACTCTCTTAGTTTCTTCCACTCTTTTATCTTTGTGAACTCTTCTCTCCTCTCAGCGAGAGACCCCTCTCTCTCTCTTTCTCTCTGGATCAAGAGACTCTCTACCTGAGAGTCTCTCTCTGCTCTTAGCTCGACGACAAGAGAGCCCCCTACATTTTTCTTCACTTGTCCCTCCCTTTTCCTCTGTTTTCTCTCCACTTCTAAAGACGCCCTCTCTCAACTATTCAATAATCTCTCCCGCAATCTCCCCTTCAACCTTTTTCTCTTCAAACTCCTCTTCTCCGCCTCTTTCAAAAGAATGAAAGACCCCCAAAAATACTTTTGCCGATTCAATTTGGGTCCTCTCTCCGCTTCTCCTCTGATTTCCTTTCTTGGGAATGGAGCCTCCTATTTATAATGGGAAGGAGGGGAAGGTTTTGCCAATTCTCAAGATAGAAGAGGAGTTTTAGCAAGTTTGGGTTTAAAGGGATAGGAGGGTTCAATTATTTGGGGTCCAAAGGATAATTTTGTAATTTTTGGGAATAATTTGGTCRTTTGGGATAAAAGGATAATTTAGTGATTTGGGTTCAGAGGGCAAATTGGTATTTGGGGTCCAAAGGGGTAGGCTTAGAGAGCTATTAAGGTAATTTGAGGAATGAAGGGGCATTTTGGTAATTTTAGGTTTAAAGGGTATTTTGGTAATTTATGAATGGATATTTTAGGGAATGAAGGGTATTTTGGTCATTTGACATGATGGGTACTTTTGGGAGTTTGGAAGGAGGGATGTTTTGGTAATTTTGGAAGAAGGGGGTATTTTGGGAATTTGGAAGAAGGGGTATTTTGAGAACCTTGGAAGAGGGGGTATTTTGGGAGTTTGATCTTAGGGGCATTTTGGTAATTTGGTCAAGGGAAATTTGTGTAATTTGGTATAAAGGTAATATGGGAGGAGGGGTATTTTGGTAATTTGGTAGGGGGGGCATTTTGGTGAGATCAATAGTGGATTTTGAGGATTTGGGGGTTGAGACGGGTTTTTTTTGGGTTTCGGCAGGGTCGGAATGGTTTGATCGGTGTTTGAGGGCGAGTTAGGGTTTAGATAGAGGACCGAGCAAAAATCGAGTCCTGACAATGGGAGAGAGAAAAGTAAAGGAGGAAGATGGAAGAAAGGCAAGAAGAGAGAGAGTTCTAAACCTCTCTTCARTCCCCAATGATATCTTTTATTCTTTTGTTGTAAAAAATAAAGACAATTACTTGAGTGCCCTTACTAGGGCGTCCATCACTAAAGGCAGCAATAAAAAACAATAATAAAAGAAAAAACAGGTCCATAAATAAGGTCCACTACCTACTTACACAAGTCATAAACATAACTTAAAGAAAAATAAAGACACTAGGCCCATCTGGCCCATTCTCACTACATACCTCATTATTGGGCATGTGTACTAGTGTACAACCTTGTAGGCTTGTACAGCTTTGTATTTTATTGTTTCTTCTAAGGACAATTTTGTCCATTCATTATTTAATATAAATATCCTTTTCCTGGGTTGGATCTGCACTGACCAACCGAACTTTCTTTCTCTCGTCGTTGTTTCTATCTTTTCTCTCTTCCTCACGCCTGAACTATCATGTAATACAAGCAATGCTATATGCAGCAGAAGTGTTGGGCAGTCAAGGAACAACATATCCAAAAAATAAGTGTAAGAAATGTGTATGCTGATATTGACGAGTGGAAAAAACTAGAAAGGTAAGGTTAGAAATGAAGTTATTCAAAGGAACCTAGGAGTATCTCCAATAGGTGATAACATGAAAGAAGTAGACTAAGATGGTTTGTCCACATGTGCAGAAGACCATCTATAGCAGCTATAAGAAGAAACAGTCCGTTGCACTTTGAAGGGGCTAGAATGGCTAGGGGCTGACCAAAAAGGACATGGGTTGAAGTAGTAAGAAATGCTTTAAACACTAATAATTTAACAATGGATATGCCATTAAACAGAATGGAATGGCGAAACAGGATTCATGTAGCCATATAGTTTTTTTGATAAATAGCTGATCCCATATAGTTCGGGTAAAGCTTAGGTGATGATGATGATATCCTGACATATTTGTTGAAATTTCTATTTTTTCCCAAAGTTTCTTATGGTATGATTTGTTAAAATATATAATTTATGTATTTTAGATGCGTGTCCATGTGGAAAGGTGTCTATGCAGTATCTGGTGTTATTGTTGGTATTATACCAAAGCAGGTGCACCAAGCATGTTTACTAATCTGATTCACTGGACTATTAGATATTGTATATTTGCAGTATGTAGTGTAAGTATTGAAACACCTCATGAAGATGCAAATTATTGGCATCTTGAAGTGTTATGAGGTAGTGAGTTGAAAATTTCTTTCTGATGTGTTTGTTAGAATATGAAACAATTCTGTGCTCCAGCTTATGGTCTTGACCTCCATTTATGTCATGATTTTATTAATTTGTCTTTTATGCATCAACTTGTTTTTTCAGACAATGGAATCTAGGCCAACTGTTCCTGATCGGAAGCTACTTGCAAGGCTTGTATTGATCAGAGAAGAAGCTCGCAATATGGTGGGGGGTGGAATACTGGATGAAAGAAATGATCGAGGTTTAAGTACTCTTCCTGAAGCAGAGGTCTGTTTACTTCTAATATTGGTTAATAAGATGTAAGATAATCTCTAATTGAATGACATGTTTGGTTATTGCCATTAAATGTAAAATTACTATAACTTACCTATTAGCTGAGAAGATTCAATTCATATTTGATCTTCTGATGGGTGACATTTTTCCTGAACACTACATTATTATTTTGCATAGTTCTACCAAAACCATTACTTAGTGAGATGGCAAAACCCTGGGCTGCTAAGCGTGAGAACGCGGGTTCAAGTCTGAGGGCAAATGGTTAGGACTGTTCCCAGTCTACCCCTCGCAGATAGCTGGGACCTACATTTATAGAACCAAATCCAGATATCCAGTTAAAATACAAAGTGGGAACTGGGCCTCTGGCTGGTGGAGTAATGATCATCATTTAATATTTTAGTTCTCCTTGATTTGGTTGAACTATTACCATTACCAAATACTGTTCTTGTACTACAGTTATAGCCATAGATCATTGTTTCCATTTTTTTCCTAAACCACAGGTGAACTTCTTGTCCAAGCTGGTTGCTATGAGACCTGGAAAAACTGTCCAGGAGATGATAAAAAATGTTATGCAAGGAAAAAATGAAGGTGCAGACAGCTTAGTTAATGGTGAGGAAAATGCTGATAGACAGACAGCAAGTGGAATTGCAGGAAGGGTGAGCTCCTTTTTGCTTACTAGAGGGCATTATCAACTTTGTGGTCATTGATTTTTGTAGGTGATGGAATCTTGAATTCGTAGGTATTGGTATTGCAAAAATAACTGAATCTCTACTTATGATTTCCAGGCTAGCATTACAGGACGTAAACCACTTCCTGTACGTCCTGGCATGTTTCTTGAAACTGTTTCCAAGGTATATGAACTCTGTTTGTTTTATCTTCTTAAATCTTGTTGCTTATGCGCGTGTATATATTTAGCTTTTCTTCCATCTGCATTCTGCAGGGACATACATGACACATCCAGACTGTCTATCTGATAAAGGACAGTCTGGATTTATTGTGCAGTATGTGTTGACCACGTAACCCCCTGTATCCAACTGTATTGCACATTTTACTTTTTCTTTGAACAATAATAACTTTTATTGAAGACAAGAGAGATCAAAGTACATGAGAGGATGTACAGAAGCCTAGAGCATCTAAGGCAGAATTGCAAAGGCAAACAAATGTCACTAAACAAGCTTTCTCTAAAAAGCCCTGATTTTGCTAGGCTATCAGCAACAGTGTTTTGCTCCCTAGGAATCCAGACGAGCTTCAGTCATTAGGTCTAAGATATCCCTAGCTTCAGCTAGCAAGTGATAATCTCCAAGGTCCTCCTTCCTTCTCCCTTAGCCAAACTATAGCATTTGCAGAATCCCTTTTAATGGTTAAAGAGGATAAACCTAGCCGCTTTGCAAAATGAATTCCTGTAAGTGCAGCCAAGACCTCTGCCTTTGTAGCATCTACCCTCCCGACTGGACTATAAGTCCAGCAGATATTCCTCCTTTCCCCTCGGATTACACCAATTCCTGCCTGACCTGTAGAGCCTTGGGCACTGCCATCAAAGTTTAGAGTCACCACTCCTTCCTCTCTAAAATGTTTCACAATCAACTCAGATCTTGGAGAGGAGTGCAGGATATCTGGAAGGTTGCTCTGAAGATCATTTAAGGAGAGGCCTTTGAGGGGTAGCCTAGTTGGTTTTGCCTAGCAGTGGTGCAGTTTCGAATCCCCCTATTATCATCTCTGTAAGAAAAGAGCTATTGATGTGATGTTGTACTGTTCACTTAAAAGAGTAACAACCCCTATGGGGGTGTCAGGCCGTGATTAATATAAAAAAAAAGAGATGAGGAAGTTGGGTCTTTAGCATTTCTAGATTTATTTATTTTTTTATCGGAAATGGTAACTTCATTAAACAAAACTTAAAATACAACCGTCACCCTAGAGTAGGGGTTTGAGATACAATCACTGAGTCACAACATTGCAGAACATGTTCCCCCTAACAGCCCCCTGTTTAGCTAATGTATCTGCTAATCCATTAGCTGATCTTCTTATCCACTTGAAGTAGACACAAATCTCTCTTGTTAGGCAGATAATTTCCCTCATCGACTGTCTATGTTTCCATCCACCCAAACTATCTGATTGCAGCCATCCTATTACCAGCTTTGAATCCCCTTCTATTTCTATTTGTTATAGTCCCAACTGCTTTGCATATCTTACACCTTGTAGTACTTCCATTAATTTCGCCTTCAAAGAGTCACCCACTCCTATCGGACCCGAGAACAATGCTAAAATTCTGCCTTCTGCATCTCTGAAGACACCCCTGTTAAGGGCCCGAGAATAGGATCTCGTCACGGGTCGGTCCATGGGGTAAACCTCCTGTTTTCCCTTGTTTCTCCCTTTTCTTGAGGAACCTATCTTGGCGCTTTAATGGTGATTTGTTCAAGAGATCACCAACTCTCCTTGCTCTTTCTTGACTAAAATTTTCGATGCCTTTTATTGAATAATATCAGATCCTTAAATAGGAGATTACAAGAGGTAAGAGTCCTACTTTTAGGAAGACTCCTTACTAATCTATACTATTGAATAGATAAGACTCCCTACTAATCCCTACTACTGAAACAACCTTGGTGAGTAGGTCTGCAAGCTGCATGTCGAAGGTGATGTAGGGAAGGCATACTTCTTGAGATGTAACCCTTTCTTTGATAAAATGCCGGTCCACTTCAATATGCATAGTTCTGTCGTGCTGTACTGGATTATGGGCTATATTGATGGCAGCCTGATTATCACAGTACAACATTAGGGGTTTCTCATAAACAATACCCAATTCCTTAAGTAATGATCTCAACCATATAATCTCAACCACACCATTTGCCATGGACCTATATTCAGCTTCGACACTTGAACGAGAAACAACACTTTGTTTCTTACTCTTCCAGGAGACCAGATTACCTCCTACAAAGGCACAATATCCAGAGGTAGATCTTTGGTCATCAACACACCCAACCCAATCAGCATCTGTGTAGACTTCTATCTTCATGTGGTCATTTTTCTTGAACAAAATGCCTTTGCCTGGGGACCTCTTCAAATATGCTAATATCCTTTCAACCGCAAGGAGGTGAGTAGTTCTAGGAGAGTGCAAATACTGACTAACTACACTTACTGCATAACTGATGTCAGGTTGTGTGAGGCAAAGATAGAGAAACTTTCCAACTAACTGTTGAAACATAGCTTTAACTTCAATAGGCTCTCCACCCTCTGCACTAATCCTGTGGTTCTGTTCAATAGGTGTGTCCACAAGCTTAACTCCCAACTTTCCTGTTTCTTCTAGTAGATCAAGAACATACTTTCGTTGAGAGACAAAAATCCCATGCTTGGATCTAGCTATCTCAATGCCCAAGAAGTATCGTAGTTCCCCCAGATCTTTTACTTCAAACTCTTGATGAAGGAGTTGCTTAAGAGACTCAATCTCTCTAGTATCACTCCCGGTTACTACAATGTCGTCCACATACACGACAAGCAAGGTTATGGAGGAACCCACTCTCTTAATAAACAAGGTGTGGTCTGGCTGAGCCTGCACATATCCGAACCTATCAAGGGCTCGTCTGAATCTGTCAAACCATGCTMTRGGGGACTGTTTTAGTCCATATAGAGCTTTGTTCAACCGACAAACCTTTCCTGTCTCCGTACCATAAAATCCTGGAGGCAACTACATGTAAACTTCTTCCTGCAAGTCTCCATTGAGAAAGGCGTTTTTAACATCCATCTGATACAATGGCCAAGAGTAACTAGCTGCAAGAGATAATAGTACTTTGATAGTGGTCATCTTTGCTATTGGTGCAAAAGTTTCTAAGTAGTCAATATCATATGTCTGAGTAAATCCTTTTGCAACTAATCGGGCCTTATACCTTTCAACAGAACCATCAACATTATGTTTCACAGTGAATACCCATCTACATCCAACCGGTTTATTTCCTTTAGGTTGATCAACTATCTCCCAGGTATTGTTTTTGATGAGGGCATTCATTTCTACTTTTATCGCATCTTTCCATTTTGGTACTTCCAATGCTTCCTATATTGTTTTGGGAATGAGAATATCAGCAATGGATGCGAGAAAAGACTTGTAGGAGGGAGTCAAATGATCATAAGATAGGAACTGAGAAATGCAGTGAGCTGTGGTGCAACGGCGTTTGCCTTTACGAACTGCTATGGGAAGATCAAGGTCACTGAATGAAGGTGAAGGCTCCATGGTTGGATGTCTCTCATCTGTAGTATCCGTGGTACCTGGATCTGGATCTGCAGAAGGAATTGGGGCTACTGTGGTACCTGGATCTGAATCTACAGAAGGAGCTGGGGTTGCTGTGGTATCGGGATCTGGATCTGCAGAGGGGACTGGGACTGGCCTGCACTGCTGATGTCCAAAGTTGACCTATCTCTATCGTCTGTGATAGACTCTCACATCCTTGCACCTTTGACATCCTTCCCCATTACATCCTTCTTCACTTAATGGGATTGGAAAAGGAACTTCCGATGAGCTACTCCCAGTTTCACTATTCTCCCCCTGAGGAGAAACCCTTGGATAATAGGGTTTATCCTCAAAGAAGGTGATATCCATTGAGACAAATCTTTTCCAGAAGTCGGTTCATAACAACAATATCCCTTTTGAGTTTGGGCATAACCAAGGAAAATGCATTTGGAGGCCTTAGGATCAAATTTGGAACAATGAGGGCCAAGGATTTGAACAAAGCAAGTGCACTCAAAGGTTTTGAGGGGAATGGTAAACAATTCTTTATTAGGGTATAAAAGGGTGAATGGGGTTTTCATGTCAAGAACCCGTGAGAGAATTCGATTGATAAGATAAATTGCTGTAAGAATGGCATCCCCCCAGAAATGTACATGCACATTTGAGGTAAACATAATACCTCTGGCTACCTCCAATATGTGTCTATTCTTTCTTTCAGCAACCCCATTTTGCTTTGGTGTATGTGGGCAGGTACTCTGATGAATAATCCCATGATCAAGCATGTAGGAGGCTAATGGGTTTGAAAAATATTCTTTTACATTGTTGGATATAATAATTTTGACCCCAAATTGGGTTAAAATCATTTGATGAAAGATTCGGGTTAATGTTGGAACCTCATCTCGAGAACGCATAAGGTAAACCCAAGAGAACCGAGTATAATCATCAACAAATAATAGGAAATATCTGTACCCCCCATGGCAGTGGTATGATAGGGTCCCCAAACATCAATATGCACAATTTCAAAAGGAATATTGCTTTTGTTTTTACTTAATGGATAGGTAGTCCTGCAACGTTTTGCAAGCTCACAACTTTCACATTTCAAACTTGTCACTTGAACAAATTCAAATATACTAGGAAACAAACTTTTCAAAGCCTGAAAGGATAAATGGCCCATCCTATTATGCCAAAGCATCACTTGATCAACGGACTGAGAAACAAAGGATTTCTTAGTTTCACTATCCTCCTGATGAGCACTTCCTCCAAGTAGGTAGATTCCATTTGTCTCACGGCCAGTCAAAATCACCTTCCTTGTTTCCGGATCCTGAAAAATACATCGATCAGGAAAAAAAGTTACTGAACATTTATGTTTTTTTGTAATGCTACTAATTGAGAGCAAGTTAGTATTAAGCTTAGGAACATGTAGGACGGAGGATAGGAAAATTGCATCAGACAACTTGATGTCTCCTTTGCCAGAAATAAGAACAAGGGATCCATCAGCAATGGATACYGTCTTTACCAAAAGATAAATGATAGGTAGAGAAAAGTGATGGCAAGCTAGTCATATGGTCAGATTCTCCTGAATCTATTATCCTAAAATGTTCTGTATTACCTGGAGCTGAAGCATGATAAGCTGAGGCT